TTTTTTTTTTTTTTGAAATTATTCTGATTATGCTATGCTCATGAAATTACTTTTTTAGCTATTTTAATGTTGAATTAGTTTATTACGTTGTTTTGTGTCTGAAGATTGTTTCTGCATACTGGTTTGAATTAAATGGTTAGAGATTTTGTGGAATTTAACCTGGTGAAAAAAGCAGGGATCTGTTGCCTTTTGTGAATTGATCTCTCGTACACATCAGGGACATTAAATTGTGCGATGTTGTTGGGTGAACCTCATGAGTGTTTTGATGATTGAAGGTTCAGTAAACAATGCAATATTGCTGCAGCTCCCAGCTGCTTTTAATACTCTATCTACCTTTTGAATGTTTAGGAGATGTGTGTTGTTTGATAATTATGGATGTGCTGCCATTGTGTGAAGTTATAGCTATGGAGTAATTTTTTTTTAGTTCATTACATTCTTAGGCATGAACTTATGAGGACCAGAAGTTGCTTCCAAAATTTGTTTTTCGAAATCTAATCTGAGTTATGTTTCGGGTAGCTGTCTATCTATTGAACTTCTTGAACATGAACTAAAAAATTCTAGGTTTGTAAAATTTACTCTTGCTGTTTTCCTTGCTCTCAACAAACTTTGACATGTTCTTGTAACTAACATAGTAATTTAGTTCTATAAGTTGATCGTTTGTGTAACTTTTACTCCACTAAACAATTGAGAATTTCCTTGATGTTTAACTGTGTGACCCTGTGGATGACTTGGGAAAATGGTAATTATGTTTTCTATAAGTTGATCGTTTGTGTTTTCTTTATACTTTTATTATATATCTTGGATCTCTTGTACTCATATGCCTGCATTGAAATATTTGCAGAACACCAGAGAGACCGCACATGCTATTCGTAAGCTACCACTTACCAAGGCCAAGAGGTACTTAGAAGATGTGCTTGCCCACAAGCAGGCTATCCCATTCACTCGTTTCTGTGGAGGCGTTGGGAGAACTGCTCAGGCAAAGAACAGACATTCTAATGGGCAGGGTCGTTGGCCCGTTAAATCTGCCAAGTTTATCCTGGATTTACTCAAGAATGCTGAAAGCAATGCTGAGGTACTCCATCAATGATTTATGATTTTTACGATTTACTGTGATTAAAAAATTATTGGTTATTTTATTTATTTATTTTTTTTTTGGGCAGGTGAAAGGTTTGGATGCGGATGCACTCTATATTTCTCATATTCAGGTTAACCAGGCTCAGAAGCAAAGGCGCCGCACGTATCGTGCTCATGGACGAATTAACCGTATGTTATGTGTTTTTTTATGTTCAAGTTACTGCACAACTTTAATTTTTTGAACTGTTTTACGGTAAAATGATTGATGTAGAATGCTGAGCTCGAGTTACTTTTATCTTTTTCATTGAAAAATCTGAACTAAACATGAATAAATTCCTGTCAGCTTACATGTCCTCCCCCTGCCACATTGAGTTGATACTTTCTGAAAAGGAAGAGCCTGTCAAGAAAGAGGTATATATCTGAAAATGTGATGGATTTATAGTTTTAATTTCAGTTCTTCAAATAATTTTCTTGATGTATTAATGTCTGGTTTTTCTTGCTTTATTTTGCACAGCCTGAATCACAGTTGGCAGCAAGCAACAAACCTAGGAAGGCTTGATCGTGTTTTTACATTTTTATCTTGTGCCTCGTTTTGTTTTGAGCCCAAGTTCTGTGTTACATCTTTTGATTTTGGAGTATTTATCCAATATTGTGTGGATCTATTAGAGCATGCTTGGATATAAAATTTTTTCGTTTTGATTGAATTTTGTGATTTGGGATGGTTAAATTTGAAAAAAATTGATATGGTTAGTTGTTAGTGGGTATATTAAAATAATATTTAAAATAAAATGATTAAAATTAGATTGATGTAAAAGTATGAAAGAGAAGATGTGATAGTTAGTTAAAATTATGTGAGTGGATGAATAGTGAATTAAGGTTGATGTTGTGTTTAAGAATGATTGATTGATATTATTTAATTATATTGATAATATTGATTATAGTGAGGTTGAGTTAAAATTGGGTTAAAAAAATGGTTGAGTTAAAAATGATTGGAAATTTTGGGTTAAACTTGTATCCAATCATGCTCTTAGAAATTGTGCAATGCTTATTATTGAACTTATAGGTTAAATTGATTTTGCTTCTTTGGTGCATTTTTTGTTGTTAATCTGTCTCTAGTCTTGCATACATTATTAGCTAGGCCTTTAAATTGTAACTCTATCTAGAACAATGGATAGCAGGTTTATTTTTGTTTGTCTCACCAAAATTTTGCCACTCTTTGCCCCTAGTTTATCAACCAACATCTAGAAACATTAGGGCCCATGTGAAATGAAAAATTAAAAGGTAATTAATTGTGATTAAATAGGAAAATAGTAAAGTAATTAATCTCATTTTTATCACAAAATTAAAGTATTTCCACAAGATAACAAAGATCAGCATAGAATATAAGAATCACAAGGGAAGGAAGGTCCTGATGAGTAGTTCTGGATTTTGGACCAAAGACTTCATTGTCAAATTCCAATGGACTAACAAATCATATGAGAGTGGAATTTTGGGATATCAATGTCATTTCACTATCGCATTTAATTCGTGGACTTTATTTTTGTGAACTACAAGTCTACAACAATTTGTGTTTCTCGTTTTTGCTATGAAGCAAACAGTTGGCTCCATAGTGGAGCTAACTTTCTATATACAACAAGTAAACCTATCATATTCTCGGATTACTTAGATAACAATAATATAATTTTATTAATATGTTAGGTTTATATGTTGTATATAGAATGTTGGTTCTACTATGGAGCCAACTGTTGGCTTCGCAAAATCGAACAAACTTATATTATGAGATTATGGCTTATAAGTTTTTTTTATTCAAATAAATTTAATTTGATAGGATGAGTATTTTTTTTTTTTTAGATGAAGCATAAATTTCTCTAATCGTCTTTTCGAAAAAAAGTAAAATTGATTTAGTAGCTAATTTTATCGAATAATTTCAATCATCGGCTAGCTTTTCAATTATATTTACCTAACATATGCTATGTTTGGTATAATTAGCTGATAAGCTAGCTGCAATAAAACTTTCAATTGACTTATTTGAAAAAATACCCAATAAAGCTTATGAGATAATTTCGAATTTTTTTAAAGAAATCGTTCTACCAAACCAAATTTATTTAAATAAAAGAAACTTATAACTTAATAAAAAAATTAATCAAATAAGGTGTAAACTTCCTTATATTATTATATGCATGCATTACTTGGTGAGATTACTATTTGTTTACCTACTATAACAAAATTAGCTCTACCCATTCCCCTGCTTTTTTAGCACACTTTAGAAAAAGTCTTAAAAAAGTGTGTGTGTGTGTGTGTGTGTGTGTTTGTTGAGGTGTAGATAAAATCAAAATCCAATTCAATCGTCTGACTCAGTCCAACTCTCACTACTTTTAATTTGCGGATCATATTTTGAGCTGTCTATTATACTCTTTCCCTTACAAACAATATAAGTATGAATAATATAAGTCCCTTTTATTTAGCTCAGCAAACACAAAGTCTACCACTACTTACTATTTCATATCTTTTTGCTGCTTCCATTTGTCTTTACACATAGCGATTTCTTCGCACATCCTTTTCTCTCTCAAAACTTATCCATATAATTATCACATCTCTTTCTCTATATATTTATTAGTCCCTCCCTGCAAATTATTACATGTTGTTGTAAACCTTGTCGTCTTCAAACTCCATATCTCAAAGGTACATACATACATTTTCCTTAAACTCTTCTGTTATTTCTTTTTTTTCTCAGAACAAATGGCTTCATGATGCAATTATGCAAGCTAGCTACCTTATAAAATCCTGTGATTTGAGCCTTTGAAATTCATTTTCTAATTCGAATACAATGTGAAACGAAATCGGTATATTCATTTGTTCAGTTCGTGTTTTCGCATGTTTCGATTGATTTCATGCAGGGGAGAGCTAATATGGAAGGGGAATGATCAGTCTACCTTACAGCCCTCAGTTTGTATATATTCATATTTTTCATGCACACTCTTCTGTTTTCATTACAACCATTCTTTGTACAGAAGGAGAAAAGATTTTTGTTGGATACAATTTTGTTATCCATGAGATCACAATCGACCGCTCTTGGCATTGCCACGTCCTGTTCTATGTAAAGAAACCCGGTAAAACATTTCGAACATGTGTATTTTCAGTTTAGTCCTGCAAGACAGTGATAATAATAATAACCCCACCATGAAAACTCATTCGAAAATCCCCAAGTTTACCGAAGATCACTTCCCTATTACCTCACTTTTACCCGGATTACCCGACGATGTCTCCAAATTATGCTTTGCACTTATCCCTCGGGTCCACTTCCCTGCCATGGCTGCCGTGAGCAAGCATTGGAGGTCGTTTCTTAAAAGCAGAGAATTCATTACCGTTCGAAAACTTGCTGGGAAAGTCGAAGAGTGGCTTTACGTACTCACTGCGTACAGTGAAGAAAACCGTTGGGAGGTTTTGGATCGTTCGGGTAAGAAACAGAGTCGAGTCCCGAAAATGCCGGGTCCTGATAAGTCGGGATTTGGCGTCGTCGTTCTCAACGGGAAGTTGATTGTCGTTGCCGGTTATTGCTCGGCGGCCGATGGTTCGAAATCTGTCTCGAGAGATGTTTACGAATACGATGCTTGCCTGAACAGGTTTTTCTTGCAAAACTTTCCATCTATATTCATTCGTTCGTTGTAATAAATGTAAGAAAGTGCTTTTTTTTGTTTAAAAAAAATTGCCAGCTGGCGCCAACTAGCCGTAACGAACGTCCCGCGCCACAACTTCGCCTGCGCGGTGGTCAACGGCGCGGTCCACGCAGTCGGAGGGCGTGGGGCCCACGGCGAGTCCCTGTCGAGCGCTGAGGTGTACGACCCTGAATCCAACAGGTGGACGGTGATCGAGCCACTGAGGCGGCCTCGTTGGGGAAGCTTCGCGTGTGGGGTCGGGGGAAAGCTTTACATGATGGGCGGGAGGTCGAGCTTCAGTATCGGGAATTCGAGGGTAATCGACGTTTACGACCCTAAAACGGGCACATGGAGCCAGATGAAAAACGGGTGTGTCATGGTGACGTCACACGCAGTGCTCGGGAGCAAGATTTGCTGCATGGAGTGGAAAAACGAGCGCAGGCTAGCGATTTTCGACCCTGAAGAGGAGAGTCCTTGGAAGATGGTCTCGGTTCCTGTGACGGGGAGCACAAGCGTCGGGTTTCATTTCGGGGTGTTAAATGGAGAGCTCTTGTTGTTTTCGTTACAAGGAGATGCTTGTAACCGCACGTTGGCTTACGACCCGGATGTGGGCCCGGGCTCCGAGTGGCGGGCTTCCGAGATAAAGCCGACGGGCTTGTGTCTTTGTACCGTTACAATTGAAGCTTGAGATGTTTGCAATAAATCATTAGATGCATCACATATGGTTCTTTAATTATATATATCTGTAAAAATGTGTTGTAAATAAGAGTGATGTGCTTTGAGTTGGTTCAAATGTTTTTTTCCAACTACACTTGTGGTTGGCTTTGTACTGTGAGCCTCTCTCTCCAAAATGGCATAGATGAAGGGAGAACTGTAGAAGAAAAGGGGTGTGTGTGTGTGTGCGCGCGCGCGTATGATCACATTTTCTGCAGAAAGTGTGTAAATCTTGAATGAAATGGATTGCTATGATCAATGTGCCTGCAAATCTGCACCATTCTTGGAAAAATGAGGAAACATAGTTCTGCTTGTATCATAATAATCCAGGTGAGGTGCACTTTTTGAGTTTTGGACAGAAACACATGTTGAATTTCCAGACGTACAAGAATTACATGGTACTAGCCTGTTTTGCTTGAAATAACTGCAAACCCATAGCAACTTCAAAAAGAAATGTACCCATGGCTTCTTAATATATCAAAAAAAATTGTACAATTCATCTTTCCATTTTTTCCTTTGAAACAAGAAAAGGTAATGAACAATCTACAAACCGAGTTTCTTGGGCCTCAAGTAAGTCGATGACCCCGACTTTAACCCAGGCATCGACACCCGTTGCTGCTCCTTCTCCCTCTTCGCCCTATCTTTCTCCTTACCCTCCTTCTCTCTCATCTCTTGGACCTTCCTCAGGCTCTCCATCTCTTCCTCCATAGCTGTCTTTTCCTGCTTCTGCTTCTTCTTATGCTCCAGCATCGATGTATCCGAGTCCTTAACCGAGAAAAACATGGGCCCATGGTCAGCTAGCCATTGCGGCTCGACAGCTGTGGCACACTGCATATACTCCTTGCTCGTCAGCACCAGCTCGTGGTATACCACATAATCCGGAGTGTAACCAAGCCCATATATAGCACTGCTTGGGTGCAAATGGCACGGCATCCCATTCCTACAGTTAACATACTCCCCAACACCCTTCTGCCGAGCCGAGTTGTGGAAATACGCCGAGCATATAGCTTTTCGCACGACATCCCAGTCGGGCCCGCATGATGTCAGCGGGATTTTAAGCGTCTTGAGGATATCGAGCAGCTGTGACCTCACCTCTCGAGCCTTTTTCAACCCCTTCACGTGTAAAAAGTGGTCGTTGCACCAATCTCCCCTGTACTGCTTACTTTTCCACTGCTGGTACACGTTGAGTAGCGTCAGGTGGTCGGATTCCGGCACGAAGAATTTCTCCCAAGCAGCGTCGCTTTCCTCCGCTCGATCCTTGGGCCGGAAGAAAACCGATGGGACCGAAAGCATGGATACGATCGTCAAAACCTCGTTAAGGCATCCCAGCTTTTCGCCCATCAGAAGCATTTTGGCGAGCGGCTGGTCGAGCGGAAACTCGACCATTTTCCAGCCGAGGTCGGTTAGATCACCCACGTTGCTCAACGCGCCGAGCACCCAGAGCTGGTACATCGAGTTGAGGATATTCTCATGCGGGGGAGGATCCAT